CCTTGCAGCTCAACTCGTCTTTCAGGAGATGCGTTGCTGATGTTCTCGGTGAATTCTCGCACACGTTGGTCCAAACAGACTGACTGCATGGCCATTGCCCGTCCTGTTGCTAGGTCGGCTGCCCGACAGCACTTCAAAGGACATGTTGCTGCACCTGGCGGTTGTAGATTTTGCCTCTTTTTACGGGGCTGTTTTTGAGGCCTGGGTCTGATCGCATGCTCCGGACACGGGCAGCCCTCAGCCCACACCCCGAGTCGATCTGACTCCTGGGCGAGATGGGCAATCATAGCAATTGAATCCCAGGCATAGTTGGATTGCATCAGGTCATCGATATGCCCCACAGTGGCCCGAGAAGATTCCTCCAGCAGAAAAGGTTGTTTCTTTGATGATGTCTGTGAAGCTGCACTTGCAGACATGTATTGTTTCGTGTTCCAAGCGCTGCGCAGCATGTCTTGCAGTGGCAATACCTGAGAGAGCGCGTATATGCCAGTTATGTGGTGCATTTGATTTTCCGTTTTGAAAATATTATTTCGATTTCGACTTTGGGATTTCGGGTCATAGAGAAATTTGAACGGGATGATGCGACGTCAACTAATTACAAACTTGACTTAAAACCATCAAACTTGTACATGAAAATCAATATCAGAAGACAAGCTACAGCCTGACAGAAATCAGAAACCGCCTGCCATCTGAGACCACGTAAATGGTTCTCAGCCCAGAATTCAACCAAATCTTTTTGTGGATGGTCTGATAGGCAAGTGGAGACAAATCGCTCCCTCCATGTGACAGTACTCAATAAGGTATCCAGTGCCTGTAGGAGAGGAAGCAAGGGTTTCCACCTGAAGCTTGCTACAGGGCGTGGGCCGGCCCGGCCGGGTGAACCCAAAAAAACAAATTCAGATTATCATACTCAGACTAAAAACTGAAGAAAATAAGTTGTAAGTATAAGTGTAACTATGAATATAGTAATGTAATATATAAATATAAATATAAATATATATATATATGAAAGATAGCCAACATCACCCGGACGATTGCACAGTCATACTGAATCAACACCAAGTGCCCATCAACTACCGTTTTAAAACCTAGTATTGCCTGTAAACCATTGGGAAGATCTGAAACTTGAAGTAGGCGTCAACTGTTAATGTCAGTCATACTCAAAGGCAGATTGAAATGACTTGACTCGACTCGACAGTTGGCTAGCAAGGGACTGAGGAAGGCCTTGGAGTATGCTTCCCAACAGGTTGTCAGAAACGTGTTTTAGACCCGTCACAGGCATTGCATTGGGGAATAGACATAGAGCTCTGTTGCGGTCATCCAGTAGAGCCTGCTCAGGTTCTGGCATGAGCTCTTCCGACCTGCAAGACAGGTCGGCCGGGGCGTCAACAAACTTTTGAATATCAAGGTAACAGCAGTGACAGTTAACAAGTTAACTGTTAACAGTGTCACGGCCTTAAACAGTTACATAAATATTAAAGTATCAGACTATCAGTCTATCAGTAATTGAAACCGTTCAACTTGAACCTGTCAGTTGCAATTTACAACAAGACAAGAGTTGAAGCATGTTCGTAAGTGTGCATGTTGTTGGTCATTGCACTGGATGATGTAGTGTACCGGTTTTCCATGGTCCATGACTCCAGAACCCATAATAATCCGGCCTGCATGCAAGGGTGTTTGACATGGGGTTGTCATCATCAAGAGGGACCCTGTTCATGTTGAGGTACATGCTGCTGCGGTACTCACTCGCATCTGTAATGGCCCCTGCGATGGCACCATCATCCCCATCTTTCAAATCCATCACCACATCTTGGCACAGGTCAACCATGTTGATTTGCACAGCTTCTGCAAGCTTTGCCTCCGTACCTAGGACTGAGGGAAGAGTTCCTAACTAACAGAAAATTAAGATTTTTCCAAATTCATACCCATGATGAGCCCACAGTGTCGAGGCATGATGAATAAAGATTTTCTTTGATGCTGCAGGGGTACCCTGGTCACTCAAACAACACACCACTTGACGTCCATATGCAGCAATATCCCGTTGACGGTTTCCAATATCAACCTCCAACGACAGTGTCCAGAGCAATGCGTCGAGCTTGTTGACGAAACTGGTCACTCCTCATTTGGCAATGGCTGCCGGCTGCCCAAGATGAATTTAGTAATGACAATTGACAGTTGACAATGGCAAAATATCTCAAAAGTCTGGAGGTCTCATGTTCTGGAAGGAACACACACCAAGTCAAGGGTTATAAAAGTGTTGAGATTAATATGGGTTGATTACGCCGACTAAAATGAATAATGCTGATGATTTCTGATTGTTTCAACACATTTCAAATTCAATGATTCAATGACAATGGTTTGATTCTCTTGACCGCGATGTCAGAACGTGTCAGACTGGTTGGATGGAAAAAGTGTCATCTTTTAATCTTTTAGATTGAAAAACACCACATGGTGCATGGTGCCACACAAGGATCTAATCTTATCCCAATGAGAATGCATCTGTTGAGTAGTAATGTGTGGTTGGTGAAACGAAGTAACCAATCGTTGGTACTGAATAACTGGTACTGAATATACTTGGTTTAATTCTCGACCAGTAGACAAGCAGGGGCCTAAACCCAAAGGTGAGATACAAGAAGTAAGTATGGAGTCTTCAGACTGAAATTTGAAAATGGGATGGAGTTGGATGTTGTTGATAATGTTTTTTTGTTTTGGGGCCAAAACCTGACTAATTGGTAATTAGAATGGCATGTCCTGAAATTAAAGATAAGGATTTTAGAGTCTGCAAATCTTCAGTCAAGTGACCCTTACCCATGCTCACAGTGGGGAGTACACGAACATCAGTGGTCAATTCCTTCTCGGCTGATTGACCCAGAAGCTCACCCACAACATCCTCATCCTCCAATGCTCGAGCTTGGCTACGGACAGTTGAGCTCAGGTCTGAGATTGCACCACTGACCCTGCCGAGAAAGCTTATCGTGAGATGACTGCAGGGTGGTGACTGCAGGGTGGTAAGTGCAGGTGCAGTTCAATTTCTAGTCTCTAGTCTAGAACTAGGCTAGTACAAGTCTAAGTCTAAGTCTAAGTCTCTAAATTCCTAATAACATGAGACATGGCATCCATCATGAATCCAGAGGCCTTGTGGACCATTCTTCAACCACAAAAAGCTCTTTTGTCTGTGTGGTCGCATCATAACCTGAGTACGCCGCCAGAATCGCTGATTTCAAACAAAGATGAATAAGATGAACTACACACTGTGACTATGATTTTGACTCAAACTCTGACACTGACGCTGGCTTGTTCAGTTCATTTTCAAAAAATCAATCATTGCAAATTGCTAATCATCATTCATAACCTAATCATTTGTCACTGGCATGATGTCAATGTCAAGCAACACAACGCGATGTGGTGTTGGGTGAAGCCGTTTGTTTGCCCCCATTCCCACCGCCGAACATACATGCCCAAGATGTCGAGTTTGTACCGTGCACGGCTGAAGGTAGCTGGAGACGGTCCTTGTTTCACAGCCACCTGAGCCGCAGACGCAGGAGAAGCAGTTCAGTTGAGGTAGCAGGGGTAGAAGCAATCAGGAATCAGGATTCTAGATTCTAGGCCGGGGAGAGATCTTGTTCAATTCCTATGTTCAGTGAATGATTTGCTTTTCAAATTCACGCTGGGTGCTAATGCTAAGTTACTGGTTACTCTATTTGATCAGTTGATCAGCGTTCTGGTACTGCAAGTGTGTAGCACACAACGAAACTGCTCTGGGACACCAGGCTGACAGATCTTCCAAGTCCAATTGACCTGTGGCCAACTTGACAGCCGTGTTCATGGCCAAGTGGAATCGATCTGCAGCTCGTAGATGGATGCTCCTCATTGCATGGCAAGCCAGGTGACAACTATGGCATGAACCATGAACCGCAAAAGTAACAGACAGGTAAAGTATCAACATTCAATTCAATTCAATCTTAGTTTCAATGTTTTTGATATTTCTTGATGTCAATTGTTGTTGTGTTTTTTCATTGTTTGCTCTTGGTCTTGTTGTTTCTGTAGCTTAACTTTTTCAAAAAAGAATCGGTTGCTCAGTAGTAGGCGCAGTAGTCAAGTCAATGACAAAAAATGACAAAATGAAAAATGATGAAGTAACAAGCGATGACAAGCTTCAATGAAAACGTATGGTAAAGCTGCAGAAGACTGTACGCAGGGCGACCACCAGTCGATCGGTTGGGCACCAATGCGTTGACTCCAGTTTTTTTCGGTCGATACCCCTTCAACTCTATAACATGCATGGCCGCCTTCTTGAAAGCATCCACCTTCCCGGAAATTGGAATGCATGGCATGTACAGGGGGGGGTCCGATCTCTATGCAGAAAATTTGTGGATGAAGATGAGGTCAAACAAATCTGTCACCTGCAATACACCTGTTGAATTTTTCAAACATATGTCGTTGATATTTCACAGCTACCTTTGTGTATGCTGTACACCAACCGTATGCATATGGGACTCATGAGAAGTGAAAACCAACGACCGTTGCCTCATCTGGGGTTCCATGCTGCAAGATCGGTCTGGACACGTGCAGTAAAAGCTGGAAAATCTCGTCGGCGGTTGACCGGATATGGTCAAAGGCACTGGAGGCATCTTTCTCCGCCCAAACCATGGGAAATCACAAGGTTTCTTGGGTAACAGTAATGTATCAATGTACATTGTTTTTTTTCTTTGGTGCTTAGTCCTTAGTCGTGAGTCATTCATCTACTTGTTTCACTAATCAATTTATGTCATCCCTCTGATCAGGTTATACAGTTATACCCCTGATTTGTGTCCATTGATGGGTCTCACTCCCAAGTTGTTGACTGGCCCCTTTGAACCGCACAGCTGACCTGATCATGGGCGATGGCACCGGGATGAAACGTTCAATAACCCAACATACCTCTTGATCTACATCTTCAAAATAAATTTCAGATTCATCAAGTTCAACTATATGTATCATGAAAACAATATCTCAAATTCTTAGGGCGCCATTTCCACCTGAACCCACCCAGACTTTTGAAATTTAACACCTTTGTCGCCTTCAAAAAGAAGAGCAATATGGCGAGAAACAGTCGCTTGGCTTGGTCGAGCTTTCCGCCTCTTTCCGTCAACCCGCTTGACCACATGATAGACGTCTACAACCTTGGACATTTTGATTTCGCTGCGTCCGAGCAAAAGCAATTTCTGCACAAGCTCGCGGTCCTTGAGAAGACCATCCGGGGAGGCAAGCAGCATTGAATTGTTGTTGCCGAACCCTTTGGCGAAGAAGGTTTCTGGCGCTTCCAAATCAGAAAACTTCAGAGGAACAGGCGCAGGCATTTCTCCAGAGTTGTCTTCCTCACAAAGCTACAACAGAAGCAACATCCCATCATTAGGTTCTTTGACATGTCAGCACCAAAAGCACAGCATGTAGTAGTAGGTTTTTTTTGCATCCCTACCTCGACCTTTTTTGTGGTAGAGCCGGTCCTCATCTTGCAAGACTCCTGCCGGCACATCCACTGGCACATGCGCATCAGGCTCTGCAGGCACGGTCTGCCCCTCTTCATGAAGGCCCGGCTGGGAAGGTGGAGCTTGTGTTGGTGCAGGTGGGGCAAAGGAGTGAGGTGGGCAAGGCACGGCGACTGGCTTTGAAATGTCGTTGTCAGAGTCATCCGAGCTGGCAACTGCGGCTGCATCTAAGGGTCCACGCAGCACTCCCCGGATTTGCAAGCTCAGCTCCACCGAATGCGGCCTCTTCTCAAAATGGTGGCAGACCCTGCGCGCACCTTCGCAAATGTGCTCCGTCTGGTCCTTCAGAAGCCACCGCCCGCTGATTCGCCACTCTGTCCGCACCACCACTTTTCCGACAAGGGCGGCAACAATAATGCATCCAAGTGGCCCAAGAGCAATCGCTGCGCATCTTCACGCAAAGTCAGGACCGAATGCGGCCTCTTCTCAAAATGGTGGCAGACCCTGCGCGCACCTTCGCAAATGTGCAGAAGCCACCGCCCGCTGATTCGCCACTCTGTCCGCACCACCACAGTCTGACCTCAAACGGACGGCTCATGAGAAACATGGAAGTGTGGTCAGGTGCCACAACTATACTGATCTAGTCCCATCGTTGAAGCGTGACGAAATTACTGAAGTTTGGTATAATGGTTTCAAGGCACTGTTGGTGTCTGTCCCCTCGATGTAGCGAACCCTTGACCTGACGCCATCGGGGAGGACGGCCGGGTACCCTTCCTCGTCTGACTCATCTTCTATCTTTGACATGTCCTCAAAATGGCGTGGGTTGTTCAGCAGGCTAGTCCACCGGAAGATGGTTGCTTGTAGAGGGGTCAGAGGCAACCATGTCCAAGCTGGGAGCTCATCATCTGCTCGCAGGAGATCTTTTGGCAATTTTCCATGCCTTGCTGTGGATACATCCACAGCAAATAAGAACCTTTCCCTAGTGGCAGCAGTGTGCCCACCTTCCAATCCACGCTCCATGCTGATGAGTTTGGATGGGTGCCCATTGCCAAGAATGGAAAGAGCAATGTGCTGAGTCCGTGAACTTTCATAAGAGGTTGAAGTTCGAGTGGCTCGCTTAGTCTTCCCACGCTGCACCAATGTGTTCAAAGTGCTTGCGTGGGAATTCACTGGGCCGGAAGGCTTGTCACCACGGTCCCCTCGAGCACCCAACAAGCCAATTTGCTCCAGAAACTCGTAGCACTCATCCAGGTTGAACGCCTGCCCGTACCATACCCGCGCAGCGGTTTTGTCCTTCTTATTCCCAGCAATTTCGACTTGTGGGAATTCAACGGAGCACCTGTAGAAGAATTCCGTCATTGTAAAGCTCTGAAGGGAAATGGATTTGGTCGTGATTTGCAGCTCAGGGTAAGGCCCGGCACCTTCCACGGGAGGTGCCAACTTGGCGGCTACTTGATCTGCTTGCTCCTTGGCGAGCTTCGCGACAAAGTCATCTGCAGTTTCGAACATAAGTTCCACTGCTTGAAAGAGCCGTGACTTTCCACGCTGAGGTGGCGCCATGTGCAACACAAGCAAAGCCAAGGGGCTAGGCTTCTGGTTCCACACGCGCACGCTAGCGCCATTGGAGAGGGCAGGCATGGCAGCCGCAAACATCATGACAGTGGAGAAGAGGCCTTGGCACGTCGAAGCAGCTATTGGTAGCAGGAAATCGTAGACTTTTTTGGGAAGGTGCTCCGCAGCATTGAAATTGTCCTTCACAACATCCAACGCAGCTGTCCACAGAGCATCAACAGCCTTGTTGCTCAACTCTTCCGGAGGTGAGGCCGGCATCCCGCTGGCGAGCGCCTTTCTGCGCAGCTTGTCGCTTCTAAGAATTTTGTTCAGGCAATGACTTGCAACACTAATTGCCGAAGGACATGTATGTACTTGCATATACTTGCATGCAGTATCGAAATGTTTTGCTTTGCAACAAGTGCTTACCTGTGATCAGAATGGCATTACATGAGGTACGAGTCAGTCTGTCAACAGCAGCCCGGCACTACAGCATGGATGATTGAACAAGCCCAGAGAGTGCGGGACAAAAGACAAAACAACTGGACACTACAAAGCACAGCCTTGACAACTTTTTCCTTGCCCGGGTGAGTTGAGGTCTCACTTATCAGCAGCACTTGCTGCAACCTCCCGCTTGCGCTTCTTCTCAGAGCCACGCTTCTTGTCCTGCAGCGACTGCAGTCGGGAGAGGTTGTGGACATCTGCCAGCTCTTGCAAGACGAGTTGCGCGAACCAAGGTCCATAATGATGAAAGCAATGGCCCAAAGGGCTGAATTGCGAGTTCACGCTTTCAGCGATTTCAGTGGGGAAGCCATTGAGGACCTCCTTGTTGCGCTGCAGACTTGGCAGGCATGTCTCCTTGCACCATGCACCAGAATGTCCTGCAGCGTGAAACTCATCAATGATGAAGTCAAAATTGGCCAGCCAAGCTGCCACAGGAGAATCAGCTTGGTTGCGCAGACACATAGCTTTCAAGTGGCAGCTGTCATCATGAACAATGCATGTGAGACTGGGCAACCTGTGCGCACATTGGGCAGCGAAATGAAAACGTTGCGACAATGATTCTGCTCCAATAAGCTCCATGACATCCAGGAGCAAGCCGGACTCGGTGACAGCAAAAAGGAAACCAGCAGTGCGTGCGGCAGCATGGGCATCTTTGCGACCCTCTTTGTGGGTCCCGCAAGTGCTTTTCTCTCGAGGCTGGGCAGAATGCCATGGTGCTAAGAAAGTCTTCGCTCTGCGTGGTCTAAGGCCTGTCCACTTCTGAGCGCGGGCCTCAACTTTGCACTGCCTTCTTCTCCGAATGTTCTTGTCAGCTTGGGAGGCAAAATATTTGGCCAACACTTCTTCTTTGATAGTGCAAGCTGGCTGCCAGCCACGAAACCCTTCAAGCTGGACTTCAAAGTGGCACACATCACCATCAGTATGCAAAGCCTTCTTGAGGCGATGGCGGGCAATAGTTTCTGCGCGATGCTGTTGGGGACGATCCCTGTCGTGCGCATGCTTCCAGCAGAGCGTGTCGCGGCCATGTGGTCTGGCGCTGCAGCCTCGAAGCAGCAGCTTGTTCAAGTGAGGAGAAGGGACGACTTCTGCAAAAGGCATTCCGCAGGTGCGTCTGTGCAGCTTGCAGTTCCCGTCTATGGCAAGGATGTCCTGTCTGTCTCCAGCAGCTTGCATCTGAGCAAAACGCCTGGAAGACATGAGCAGGTGTGGCAAGAGTGGCAAAAATGAGCTGGGCAACTTAGAAAATTGCTACAGGATAAAATGAACTTTGCTAAGCGTTGCACAGTCTTATGCCTTTTGGGGAAAATGTTTGTCGGGGCGTCAACAACAAGAAATTCAGATCGACCAAGCCTGGCAAACATGAGGGGTTCATACCAAATCCAATTGGCTGCAATGAGCTTCTCGGCCGTGCCGTTCAAGACATGCTCGTGCAGCGTCTTGGACACGTCAACGCCAGCTTCCGCAGCTCGACGGCAGAGGATCTCCCGAAGCCAACCTTCTCGGAGCTGATGGCGGATGTGGTATCGAACAGCAGCATTCAGCAGTCGAAGCAAAATGCCTTCACCTTGAAAACTGGCCCTGTGAAGGTACATTCTGTACCGCCAGCGTCGGAGCCAAGATCTTGCTAAACCAGTTCTAGAATTGAGAAAGAAATAGTCCGGATCAGGCAAGTCAATCTCTTTGCGCAAGGTGCACCTCTTATTTTGCCGCAGCATGCGAAATTCGACGAAGCCACACCAGTACCTGGCCTGCTGACAGGAGGCAGGGCAAGAGCTGGATAAATGCCAAGCCGCGATAATGTCAGGCTCTGCTATGATTTGGGCGCCCACTGCTCCGGACTGGCCTGGTCTAGCCTGCTTCAAAGGTTGTCGACACTGCGGACAAACCTTTCTCTGGGAAGTGACAACCGCAGAAGGGCAGCGATCCATGGGCAAACAAGCGGGACAGAAGGCAAGGTGGAAGCTAAAGGGTGACGACACATTCTAGCATAACGCGTTCTAGTTGCATTTCGTGACCGTGTGGAAAGAACATGTGCGACATATTCGTTGATTGATTCAAGACCTGGGAAAATGGAGCCTCAACAGCGGTTCGGAAGCAGTGAATAAGCGTGGCCAGTTGACCCACATGCAACTATGCTGAAGCGACAAAATGGACTTCCCATCATGTACCGGGCCAGGCCATGGAACAAGACTTTCTCAGTACAACAGCACATGACGCATCCATCGCAATGCAAGAAAACCGTGTGGTGAAGCATGTTCTAACCCGTGGGAATGCATCTGTGAATGTCACAAGGTCAAATCAGGACAGCATGAAGGAAGCATGGGGGCTTGTTGTTGTGCGATTTCCTGGCGCACGGTTGCTTGTTGTTCCCGGCCGGTGACTTGTGTTTCGATGTCTGTGGTGGTAATCTATAAGGAATCTGCTGATGCGTGGCGTGGCCGGTGACCGGATGGCGGGTAGCGGTGAGCCGGTGGCCAGTGAGCCCGTGGCCAGTGAGCCGGTGGCCAGTGAGCCGGTGGCCAGTGGCCGGTGGTCGGTGGCCGGTGGCCGGTCGCGGGTGGCCGGGTGGCCGGTGGCCGGTGGCCGGTGAGCCGGTGAGCAGGTGGCCGGTGGCCGGTGGCCGGTGAGCCGGTGAGCCGGTGGCCGGTGAGCCGGTGAGCCGGTGGCCGGTGGCCGGTGGCCGGTGGCCGGTGGCCGGCCGAGAGGAGAGGATGACTATAGTGCTCACTCACACACTCTCACGCACACACTCTCACTCACTCTCACTCACTCACCCACTCACTCACTCACTCACTCGCTCACTCCCTGGCATCCCTGGTCTCCGCCTCTTTTGCGTGGCAGGCGTGAGACAATGTGCGCTGCCAAGGGGTCGGATGTACGCCCTGGCGTCCACACTCACTCACTCACTCACTCACTCACTCACTCACTCACTCACTCACTCACTCACTCACTCACTCACTCACTCACTCACTCACTCACTCACTCACCTGTGCATGCACATACATACACACATACAGAAAAACTCACCCACCATCACCCCTCCATCACTCTTATACTTCCTCTTCCCTTCTTGCTTTTCTATGCTCAGTCTCAGTCTAGGGAAGTTGGTAACATGTGGGGTTATCCGGTCCTATAATTGCTGGCTAATAAGCCCCCAAAACGTTGGTGTTGGGATGTGTTGGGGATGTCACCTCCGGCTGAATCCTCATGAAACACCACGTCACAGCCCAGTGACCCATGGTGTTTGCTGCTCGGTCACCTTTGATGGCCAGAATCACTGCGGGACGGCTGGGCAGAACCAACCTTGGTTGGTAACATGCTTCCAACTGGCGCTAAACAAATCCAGCTTGCGAGTGCAAATCACCAAAATCACCGGTAAAAACTTTTGGCTGCTCCCAAATCTCAGCAGGTCACGTTGCTGCAGTGATCATCATGCCTGTGGCAATGCAAAGACTTCTGGCGGATGCTTCTGCGCAGCGTTCCTCGCGCTCGTCCTTTTCCTTCACGGCTGCCTGCAAAAGCTGCAATCGATGACACATGTGACAACACGCGGCCGATGACACATGTGACAACAGGCGGCCGATGACGCATGTGATATCATGCAGCATCATGTGCCCATGGGGCGTTTGAAATGCACACCTGTAGCGAGGAGCAAGAGTTTGTACACATCATAGCAATTTGGGTGTGACACGTCATAATTATTCATAAGCACTGCTCCGTGCAAGGCCTGTGCAAGGCTGAAGACCCGCGCAAAATCTAATCAGACTACAGGACATTTGACTGGGGTATTGTTTTTCAATACATCATGGAACATCATGGAAGTTTATTAAACATTAGTGACCTCTGTAGCAACCTGAATTTTTAGTGATGTGTTTCCCTTATGGAGCCACTATGCCAACAGCTATGACAATATCCTGGAACGTCTGAGATCCATCCAGAGCCTGGCTCTCCGATCTCTCCGATCTCTCCGATTCTTCCATGGCCATAGCCGCCATTGCCATACCGTTCTCAACCGCACTGCAACTCGCCCATGGTGCAGCTGGCAAGGGCCAGTTTCAGCCACCAAGGGGTTCTCCACAACCACGCGAAAAGAACAAAAAATCGATGTTTGCCTGTTTGCCTGTTTGTGCGAGTGTGTGTAGCATAGCTATGAGGCTTCAATGAAGCCTTCTTGCAAACATATAGCCCTACAAACCCTATCTGGGCATATCTGGGCCAAGAATTTAAGAATGATGATCCCTTTGAAAAGGACTCAACAAGTCATGATCATTCACAAGATTCAAGGCCATCTTGCCACGAGATGTCTCAATAAAGCGCCATGCACTTTGTCTCGGCTGGTGATCTCCTAGGCCCTGGTGGATCTTGTGAGAACCGTCGTGGCGTAAGAGTCTAAGCTATCTCCTCTGTGCTTCCCATGCGCAAGTCATCTCTGGAGCCAAACATTGCGAGGGAGGTCCAGCTGGTCTTTGGATACACTGTTTGAAGTCAACAAACAGAGCAAGGTGCCAGTATGGTGTCAGTAGGCAGCCGCCGCACTCAGCTGATCTCAGCTGACTCAGCTTTTCTCATTGCCACATTGCCCCGTGCCGGAACTCAGGGCATCATCAGGCCTCGCTCAGGCCCCATGGGGCCACAGGCCCCCTTCCCCAAGTGCTCCTGGATGGACGGAACGCGTTCATTGAAGAGTTCATACATCAGCATCGCGAAGGAACATTCATCCAAACGGCTGTCCACCACATAATGCATCTTGTACTTGCCATTCACTTTGACCTTCGTAGTCAGCTTGAAGGGATCCGTGACACCGTTGAAGACTGTGCCAGCTTCATGCCAGGAAATGTTATAGTATTGCTTGGGAAACTTCATGTGGGGCTTCCCCAGCTCGTGCGACAGGCCAAAGTCTGCCAGCTGAATACCTTTGGGACATCCATCCGCATCGAAGTCCTCAAACAAGACATTGTCGGGCTTCAGGTCACCATGCATATAGCCAGCCTCGTGCATGCAATCCAGTCCGCTTCGAACGGCATCGAAGACAACATCAAAGCCTGATTTGCTGTTTGCAGAAGCGCTTGACAAGACATGACAAAACAAGATTATGGACAATGATACCGTACTTACAGTACCTATATAGGCTGACAAGATCAAAAAAATGGATGCCGACATATGCCGACCCATGACAGATATAAACTGCACCAAACATCATCAACCATTCTCCAGGGAACACTCGGCATTGACTTCATACTCCCGCTGCCACTTGTCCATATCCCATGGCAAAAGCTTTGTGACAAAGGCGTTGATCATCCTCTCGCCATCAACGCAGGGATCCTCATCCAGCAATGGCAAGACGTTCATACATTGATGATCCTTGGCCGCAGCCATCACGCTGATCTCATGCTCCGCCGCATCCTCGGCTTCCTCGTCCCCTTCCAAAGGTACCTTCATGGCATAGTAATAGTACTGGGAGGCAGACTCAAACCAGTTACCCAGGACCCCACTCACGCTGATCGCAGATTCGAGGACCCCACTCAGCCAGGTGTTGCTTCGCACCTTGTAGACAGCTCCAAAGGCACCTCTGCGAGCCGTTTGGCTTTTGATTCAATCTAAGTAGTGTGATATGTGTCTGTGTTGTTCCCCCAGGGTCAGCTTTCCCCATTCGTGGTGTGGTCATGCAGTCGCTATGAAATTCCAAAAATTACATCATTCAATCAACCTGATCCACCAATTATCATCAATTTATGGCCCCGATACATCGCCCAGTTGCCCCCATGTTGCCCATCCCCATCTAATCCCCACCCATATCTATTCATGTCCCATTCCCATTGGTCCATCACCCATCCATTGGTCCACCTTCTCCCAGCTTGTCGCCCGTCTTCAAAAACTTGGACTCATTGCAGGTCTCCTTCAGCTGGGCCATGGAGGCCCTGGGGACCTTCATCTGCCGCAAATCTGCCAGGTCCTCCGCACTGAGTCGCGGGGTCAGTGGCCGGGTACGGTTCAGCACCAGCTTCGCGTCCGCAGCCTGGGACGAAACGCTGATCTGACATGGGAATAATATGAATGTGTGCATATATATATATATGTGTCCGTATATATACATTGTAAATTTTAAAATAAGATATGTCTATATATATATATATTTGGGCAATCTCGAAAATAGATCGATCGTTAGATAGATAGATACATAGAAGATAGATAGGTAGGTAGGTAGGTAGATAGTCAGAGTAAGAGAGAGAAAGAGAGGAGACCTCAAGCACCTTTCGGTCCATCAGTGGATTCGCTCTGCCATCCCTGATTCACAACAACCAATCTCTCCTATAGGTTTCTTATTTTTGAAACTTCCGCCACCGCCTTGTGCGGTACTACTGGTATATACACACATACACACACACACATATGGGCCACCGCAAAAAACTCGGCAATACTAAATATGTATTGGACGGACACTGGTTTATGAAAATTGATGGAAATTGTTAAAAGCACACGGTAAGCGATGGGACCTTCCCAAATGAGCGATACTCCTTTTCAAGGTTATGTCATTGTCTTTCTCTAATATCCACATAGGTAATTAGATGGAGGAGAGAGAGATAGATAGATAGATCGATAGATAGATAGATACATAGAAGATAGATAGGTAATTAGATGAAAGAGAGAGATAGATAGATAGATAGATAGACAGGTACGTAGAAGATAGATAGGTAATTAGATGAAAGAGAGAGAGAGATAGAGAGAGAGAGATAGATAGATAGATAGATAGATAGATAGATAGATAGATAGATAGATAGATAGATAGATAGATGAGAGAGATAGATAGATAGATAGATAGATAGATACATACAAGATAGATAGGTAATTAGATGAAAGAGAGAGAGAGATAGATCGATCGATCGATAGATAGATAGATAGATACATAGATAGATAGATAGATAGATACATACAAGATAGATAGGTAATTAGATGAAAGAGAGAGAGAGATAGATCGATCGATCGATCGATAGATAGATAGATAGATACATAGGAGATAGATAGGTAATTAGATGAAAGAGAGAGTGTCATTCAGTGTAATGTAGTGTAGTGTAGTAGCGTAATGTAGTGTAGCGGAGTGTAGTGGAAAGTAGTGTAGTGTAGTGTAGTGTAGTGTAATTTAGCGTAGTGGAGTGTAGTTGTGTAGTCTTAGTTGTAGTTGTAGTGTAGTGCAGTGTAGTGTAATATAGTGAAGTGTAGTGGAACGTAGTGTAGTGTAGTGTCATGTAGTGTAGTGGAGTGTAGTGTAATGTAGTGTAATGTAGTGTAATTGAATGTAATTGAGTGCAGTGTAGTGTAGCGGAGTGTAGTGTAGTAGAATGTAGTGAAGGTGTAGTTGTAGTTGTAGTTGTAGCGTAATGTATTGGAGTGTAGTGTGGTGTAGTGGTGGTTGTAGTTGAGAATGCTACAAAACCCTACGTTCTGCTCACTTTTGACAAGGTGCACAATCCCCTGCGCCTGCCACGCGAAGCGACATCTGAACCTCCAAAAGTGGTTCGAACCCCTGGTGTTTTTGACATTCTGACTTCGAAATGCGCGTCGCGCCACAACGGCGTGCACTTTTTCGACATCTGAACCTCCAAAAGTGGTCCGAACCCCTGGTGTTTTTTGTACATTTTGACATCGAAATGTGCGTCGCGCCACAACGGCGTGCACTTTTTCGACATCTGAACCTCCAAAAGTGGTCCGAAGCCCTGGTGTTTTTAACATTTTGACTTCGAAATGTAGGTCGCGCCGCAACGGCGTGCACTTTTCGACATCTCAACTTCCAAGAGTGGTCCGGGGCTGATGTGTTTTGTACAGTTTGACTTCGAAATGTGCTTCGCGCCACAACGGCTTGCACTTTTTCGACATCTCAACTTCCAAAAGTGGTCAGAAATTGGTGTGATTTGTACATTTTGACTTCGAAATGTGCTTCGCGCCGCAGCGGCGTGCAATTTTTCATCTCTCATCTGGCTAGCTGGCTCCGCACCCGCCGCTTTAGCGAGCCTACTTTTCGACCCTCCCGAGCCACAAATCATTGGAAAAACACAGTGTTTCGCGACTTTCCTACTTTTCGCGCATCTCCATCTTCTTTCTTCTTACTTTTTCTCTTCTCTGATCTTCTCTCTTCTAATCTTTCTCTTCTCTCTGCCTCTGCCCTGCTTTTCATCTGTCCATATTGTCGGAAGTTTGACTTCTAAACTTCCTTCGATAATAAACAAATAATAGTTATTCAGATATATAATTATATATATAGTAATATCATGCTCACTTTGATACAAACTGATTTAAGAGAAACTTGATTGGAGAATATATGAAGAACATTGAAGAACCATTGTGAAAGAACATGATCTCAAATGAGGGGCACCCACCCTCCCGTGATTTCATTGCCAAATCATTTGCAGTTTTTCTATCACATATTCTCTTCATGATAGGTCGTAATCTTGGCATGCGCGGCAACGTTTCACAACCCTCACCAGATTTTCATGCGCCATGTCATCCTCATAGTGCCGCAAAGCGGACACCATCGCAATCAGCCCAAGGGCATGCAAGGAGACCAAGGGAGTTGAAATCATTACGAAGAGTGGCAAAAAATGCCCGGGATCTCGCAAACTCACGAACTGTTGCGATTTTGAACACTCGAGCGGCAGTAGCAATTTCATGCTATCTTGGTATGCACCACACAGGCATCAAAGCGGGCTACAAGTCAGTTACCTGAACTGTTCATGAAACACTTCACTCAAACATACTCAAACTTACTATCTACCCTCTGACAATAAAGCATGTCAATGGATTATCCTTCATTTGTGGACAATAGCTTTTTCGGACTAAAACCTCCATATACCGGGGATTTCCTATGGCCACCTTTGAAATCTGAAGGGTATCCATCCCTTCCAGCTGCACGGCCAACGGCTGAGAAACTGGCCGAAGATGCCTTAAGACGCCTGATGCCCCCTGGAAACTCCACCTTTCCTTGGGTAAATGGGGTTCCATACTCCATGTATGGGCATTTGTTTTATGCTGGGGGAAAGGGAATATAAATGCTATCAAATCTATCAAGAAGTCCCACCATCTTGGAGCTCACAAGATGAACGACCCCATTCTCTGTTTCCATTGCGTGTCACACTTTTGTTTGATTGTATATCCATCGTTGAAGGGCACGTCTGAAAAATACCCCTGTTCTAACTGCTCAAGCCATATTCAGGTTTTGTTGGAGATATCACCTCATTCAATTCATGTTGATATTCCTGATTTGGTCGTTTGTTCCTACATTGTTGGTGCGCCGTTTGTCGTTCTGTCCCTCTTCAAGCTGTTTTATGGAAGCCGTCCAATACAGAATCTCCCAAGAATCGGTTCCCACTGAAGCAGACCGTTACGGTCCACTCATCTTGGCAAAAACCCCTACTAAACCCACTTCATCCCACTTCTCCATCATTGGCACCGTTCAATCTCATCTGCAAGCCGCGCAATGGGTGCAGTATATGCCTCAGGATTGGCGGCGAGATGTCAATGGTACAGCTGAGGTCTTTAGAGACATCAACATTTTTCGGCATATTTCCTATGTGTGGAAGTGGATGCGGCCCTTTCATATCATCGTCACATCAACCATGCAAAAGGAGAAAGGTTGTATTTTGAAGCTTCTAAAACAAAAAAATCATCAGGAGGACACAAAAGCTAGACCTGAGGAAAGTGAACGTGCTCCGCCAAGATTAATGCAGGCTGCCTAATAATAACCCCCCTATTTTTTTTAAAGGGGGGGGCCAGCATTCCAACAATAAATTCCTGGAACCCTATGGCTGGGATCATGATATGTATCTGATAGATTCTCCATGGTTTTGTTGGGTTTTTGATGGATTCTGAATGGATTTGGTTGGGTTTCTGATACTATACCATCCCGTCTGGAGAAGGTCAGAACATGACTTTTTTGGCAATACTAAAAGTAAATTAGGCTAATTGACTTTTAGTATTGGAGATAAAACTGGAGTTGGGAAAAATATACTATTGACAAGGTATCATTATTGGCTAGACAACATTAGATGCCAGGAAGAATGCCGGAATAGATGCCAAATAGAATGCCAAATACAATGTTAGAGTATATGCCAGAAAGAATTTCAAATAGAATGCCAGAATATCTATCTATTAACATAGATACAATTATTATGTATCATATCATAAGTTATAGTATGTCAGAATAATGTGTCAGGGTGGGGGCCACTCGAAAAAAGCCAACTCAAAGAGAGTCCACTCGAAGAAAGGCATTTGTTTCTTTGTTTTTTCGGTTTTGGTGGGACTGGATGAGGCCTAAGAGGAGAGACGCTGTAGAAGTGAACATAGAGAAATTGACATGGACCAACTATCTAGCCATACAAAACCACCCCAAACAAATCTCAATGTTTGCACAGGAAATGCGGCAATTTGGGCACTCCCCTGGTGGCCTGTTCTGCTATTTTTCTGGTTCTACACAAGGTCAGAAATAGATCAAACATATGGAACGCGGACAGTTTCAGTATGTCTGTGTGCAAACAGGAAGATTCAGCAGCTCGGGCTGTCAGCAGCTTGGGGACCATGGTTTATGATTATTTATTATGATGGTTTATGGTCAAGTGCCCATCTTTCCTTTTGGGATCTTTGAGGGTCACTTTGAGACGCAATCCATTCTGTGGGCAGCGGCGGTCGAGATTTAGGACTCACATCTCTCAGAATCTCACGGTGCGGACATGAATTTCTTTTCCAGTGTTGAAGTGGCTATATTGAGAGCACGCAGTTCTTACTACTACATCACAGCAGAGTCAATCAGAAAAAATCCTTGGTGGGATGTGCATCTGCATTGCCATCATTTCTCTTTGAAAGAACTGCTAAACCTGGTGGGAACCTCCGCGCTCTTTACTCTTTAAGTGACTTTAATTTAAGCGCGTTAAAAAAAGAGGGAAGGAACAAAGAGAGCCACATGTAATCAATAAATCTTTGCAAGTTGCGGGGGCTTGCCTCTTTGCGGAGGCTTCAACTCTTTTCCTCCTGGCCTACTTTCCAGAGTTGCATTCTTCCGGGACGGGGTATGAAGCCACGTCAAAAATCCCACATTCATATAGGCTCACAGTGGCTCATACATGCGCGCAACTGCGATGAACATGCAGCCAAAGTTGCAGCAATTGCAGGCACGTCTTCTCCATCTGCCTCACTGTTCAAGAGTTCCTCAGCTGCTCAAGAAGCAAGTCTCGATGTCGGCATGGGGCTACCATTCTAAAACGCCACCTGCTCTACTAGACTCACTAGACTAGCCGACTAGCCAGTAGACCACAGGAGTTAGAGACCTCTTGCAATCAGCTGCATCCCAAAGATCCCAGCTTTCCAGATGAATTACAAGATTCCAAAAGCAAGAGGGACAGCGTCAGCTTTTCGTGACACGTTGCTTCCCAGCCGCCAGCCTCCAGACTTCTGACATGCCCTTTGGATCTCTTTGGTATGGCTGGGGGCATGACATGAACAAGACATAGCTAGGATGGAGGATTTCTGGTCCCTTTTTGGTACTTTGGGGCATACACACTTCGGACACCACCATTGACAGCTCTCCTTCAGCATCAGGGCTTGTTTCTGACATTTCGCGGTACAGCGCCAGCCCTTGAGGAGCCCCGGGCTGGGGTCCTTTGAGGCGATCCAACGAGGTACATTTCGCTGCATGTTGGGCATTGTTCCCACGTTCATTTCAAGACGAATTAACTGCCACTGCCATGTGCGGCTATGCTTTGGCTCAACCACCGCGGCTGACGTATGCAAAAGGTTCATGGAGTATCATGGAGTTTTGGAAAGCCATGATGCGTGATGCTTTCTGTTCCTGGGGAAGAAGTTCAATATTCCAGGATAAGCCAGGAACTTCCAGGATATCCCAACATACTTCAAGAAGTTTCCACGCCAAGCCGAAACCAAATCAAACGGGTCTCCACGGTGGTCGTTTTGGTTTTTGTGACCGCCAAAGCGAAGGGCCCTGGATGTCACTAGTGCGCAGCAGCAACAACCCACAATGGTCGTCCCTGGGTTTTCCACAGCCAGGACTCGTCGCAACATAAACTGAACTAAACACTGAGTGACACTCGCAACTACGCTACGGCTAAAGCTATGCGCCGTGCTTGCTGTGTGCAGGGGATGCGCTTTCTGTCCAAAGTGGCCGCAGCAAAGCTTGTCATTAAATTACCAAAAGATATGAACTAGGCCAACAAAAAATCATCTTGGGATACAGTAAATGAAACAAACCATTGAAGAAGCCCGGCCAGTCTTCGCCAATCACCTGTGCCCAGGAGAGAAGCTGGCAAATTAGGTGGGCAGCCCACCGTGGGCCTATCATTCCTCTCATTTCATGAAGTTGCATGAAAAGGTAAGTAGTGCTAAGTGCCGGCCCTCAAACCCGCACTGACACAAATACAAATCATCCGTTGGAAACACATACTATAACGCGTAGACTATACGTAGACATCATTGCAACCAAGTTTAGCCACAAAATCACGAGTACACGATACCCTTTACATTGTAACTCCTATAGCTTCAATTCAGTGTCAGGCTAGCCCTCCAGAACCAAGCCTGCCCCCATCCTACATCCCACAACATCACACCAAACCCAGCAGCCATCATTGGTCGACTGGTATGTAGCCGTGCAGCCCATAGTCCTTGCCTCACCAACTATCTATGCTTGTGGTCGTTCACTACGTTCACATCGCCTTGGCTCAGGCTTCTCAGTTTGTTCAATGAACATCTAGAATCATCTAGTTGAATCATCTATATAGTAATATAAATATACAGTATCAATATAATCTAGTGACATCATGTCTAAAACTACCGGGGGCTCCTATGGTGACCGTGTCCCGATCGGGGTGGACCATTCTGTTTGCGCGTGCCAACCAGGAAAACACCACACAGCTATCTACATCATCTACTGCTGTCCCGAAAGTTAAAGTATATCAAAATATATCAAGATTGTGTCATTTTGGCATGATTCCTCAAGTGTCTCAACTAACTTTGCCAAAGGAACCTTTGGAGTACCAAGTGGAACACACTTCCCGCCAGTCGCGTTTCCGTGAATCGCCACATTTCGTCCACAACTCGCAGGCGGTGTGGGTCAGCCTACCATGGATGGGTTGTCAAGGTGACAAGGTGGGGCTATACGCAGCAAACCAATAGCACAACTTCACTGATGGCTATTGCTTGCCACGCATTTTGATAAAAAATCGGAGGCTACATTTTTAAAACCATTGAACTTTTGCAACCTTGCACTTACTATTTTGACGACCCATTGCCAGGGCCAAGTAGGAGTGGATTGGCAGTACGACACCAAGAATAGCAGGACCTATTAATCCATTGACATTAAACACATTTAACACGTGATTGAGGGCGCCGCCGCGCTCATCATGATTTGGGGATATGGCTTCCCAAATTGTCTAACTGGGATCGCAACATCACTGCTCTTTGCAAGTGGCCATTTTGATTCCGTTGCTCTTGCAAGTGGCCAAAAATCATGAATGCCATTTCAAGTCCATTCCATGATTCCTGCTTGCACAGTCTTTGTTGCTTAGTATCCAATATCCCTCTATATAAATCAACATCCTTTCGCTCGGAAATCGCTAGATGGATCCAACCAATTCATCTTGGCAAATGATCACGGTGGTCGCGCACTTTGGGATTCACGGGGGTTTGCTGCCTCCCCCTCCCAATCTTTAGTGATGCAATCCCAGCGTTGGTGACATAATTCCATCCGGGGATGGTTTTGACCCCGCAGCAACATGCTGGCCTTACTTGGGGCGGTTTCACTAGTGGATACAACACCGTGTTGTCTTTTTAGGATATTAATTACATGATATGACCATATATTTATACAGGGGTTATATTTCAACTTATGGGAGGTCCCATAGTTCTACGACCGCCCGAACTGCACCCCCATTCGCCCCAGTCTCATTGGCTCATCGCCTCCGGTCCCGGAATGCGCCTGTGGCAGGTGCCGGGGCTCTGATTGCACTCGATCCATTCGATCATGCCCCGCTGCTTGTCCACACCTTGGCGGCAACATGGCGAAAATCCTCCGTTGATTGTTTGTCCCATTGAGATTTATAGAGGATTTTCAGTTGCCAGTTACCACAGATAAAGAATATTATGAACAGAGGTGATTGAAAATCCTCTATAAATCTATGTGGTATGAACAGGGGTACATTCCCCTAATTACCATTGATATACATGATATGAACAAGGAAATTAGGGGTGTGAAATCCTGTGGAATTCGATTGGCATCGCAGCCCTGCCGAAATGTCTGGGGCCCGCACGAGGAACCACATCGTTGCTGGGTTGGATAATTGTGAAGCTGTCATACAATTGTTTCCTGGGCAACGGCACACCAGTGGAACCAGCAGAACCAACACATCGCAAATCCATGAATGGGATTGGTATCCGCTTTAAAATCTCAGCATTGTCTGAATGTCTGGTCACAAGGATATCCTTTCAATAGTTGTGCGATGTTGGATCGTTCAGATTGAAAGGCCCTAAGCGCAGCCCTCAGCAAGCTGACAGGTGTCAAGGAGAAATGGTACTTCAAGACCTGCCACACCCACAGGGCCACAGGGAGCTGTCACTTTGGACAGGCAAGAATGGCCCCGATCACGACACAAGAGTCACAAACAGGAAGAATGATCCATGTTTGGAGCAAGAATTGCCTGGATTAGCCATGATTAGCCTGGATTGGTCAAACTTATAGCAGACATTGCAATGCATGCATCGTTTTTTTGCCATAGTAGATGGATCCGTTGAGCGTGTGGGATTGAAAACGCTTTTTTGCCCACCTGGTAGTAAAGCCCTGGAGGAGAGAATCCAATTCCATCCACTTGCACCCGCGAAGAGACAGCTCCAACCAAAGCACCTCCAGACAGTCTGCGGCGTGTCTGCAGAGAGGCCAGATATTTAAATGTAACTAAACGGATTCATCAATGTTAAGTTATAATAT